GCTAACCTTGGACATTGGCACAACACTATTTCTTAGAAGGTACCATGTCAGCATGCTCTTTAACTCAAATGGGAGAATTAAGCTCATTGATCATTTCTCTTCCAATGGTCCAATGGTCCATGGTCCAATTAAAATACAATGGCCCTGGGAATAAACCTATGTAGAATACATCCAAGACCCCATTGAGATATTATCACAATCTACATTTATTAACATCATCGAACACATACGATGTGCTAAGTACTATGGAGAGAAAGATGAAAGCCTTTCCTGGCTGCCTCCAGGTAATTAGCTATTGTCTGCACAATTCTCGTTTGTAGAATCATTCTCATATATTATAATTCTCTGTTTTTAAATATCATCCACTTTGGAAACCCTGGTGGTGTAGTGGTTAAGAGCTACGGCTGCTAACCAACAGGTCAGCAGTTCAAATCCACCGGATGCTCCTTGGAAACTCTATGGGGCAGTTCTATTCTGTCCTATAGGGTTGCTATGAGTCGGAATCAACTCAATGGCAATGGGTTTTTTAAGGACTAGGACAATCGCTTAACCATCTTTGCACTTCCTGCCATCAGTACACTTAAGTAAAAGAAATAATAAAATTTTAGTCTCCTGAGGTAGTTGGGAGAAAGAAAATTTCTATATTTTTTTGATAGGATGATCTCTCTGAACTAAGCATTAAAGATAGTCTCACTTCTCCCCTTTATATCTTCAGACTGGCTTTTGTTTGACTCCAGAATCAAGGAGATTATGAGAACATAAGAGAAAAGAAAGGAAAAATTGTTAAGATTTCCTAAAATTCCAAGGAGGGAAATTTCTAACATTTCAGAAAATGAGGGCTCCAGATTCCTGTCTGAGCTGAGCTGTTCTACCCGTGAAGCCCCATGCCACCTGGGTCTAATTGCCGTCACCATTGCCAGGAACTTTGCGTCTGTGGGGTTTTCTGCAGACTTCAATCGAATCTCTTCCCTCTGCAGGTAGGTGTGGTGGTGTCTGCTGTGTTCTGTACACCAATACACACTTTTGATGGTACTTAATAAATTATAAATAATAAATAAATCTCACCTGCTGTCATTCTGTGGAAGCAAGCAGCTTTTCAGGCTGTGAATCATGAGGGTCACTATCATGTAAGTAGTTTCTCAGAATACGAGATATGGCAACTGCCATCAGAAACTGAAAGCAGTCATCTCTGCTTTACAAGGCCAGCTCATTCCCGAGCTTTCTCTGGACATACTCAATCTGATGAAAGTAAGCCATAGTTCTCAAAGTACCTTGTTAACCACCACATAAGGAGTAATTCAAGTGAGAATTAGATTATGATGAAATAAAATATTAGCTAGCACAAGTGGATGTTACTAATTAGAGCATCCTCTATACCTATCCAGTTACGTCTCTCTTCTTTCCCAGCTGGCACTCAGTGAAAACAGTGGAAAATCAGGCTCTGCCACTTGACAGCTTCAAAGTCAGATATGATCTGCTTTCTAACTCATCTGTCTCTTGAGCTTATTCTTCTACCAGAATTAGTTACCGCTGTCAGTAGGAAATTATGAATGGGACATGCTTTATGCTAACACATTTTTACCCAGATTATTAGCAGAATAATGAATGTAGAATCTTTTTAAATATGTTAGGGTACAAGACGGTACTTTACATAATTCTCAGTGCCACTTTAAAAATGAATTAGAAATGTTTTTCTTCTGAGGGAAAAACAGAAGCTAATGGTCTTGGAATATCTTAGGATCAGGGTTCTTAAACTTGCCTAACTATCAGAATGAAATTCAGAGCTCTGAAGATCACACCAATGGTGTATCCCTTTCATCTCCAGTCCTTGAGATTTTAAAAAAGCTCTCAGAATAATTCTGATGTGAAGCCAGGCTTGAGGGCTACCCTTGTAAACTGTAGTCTCCTTCAAGGTAAGGTAACAAGCCGACTTCTATTATCCTATTGTTAACTTTTATTATCCTACTGTTAGCATATTCAAATGATATCCCTTTTAATAAATGAACATTTTAAAATGCAGACATTTAAATTTTGTCTTCATCAGGAGCCTTTAACTCAGGTTTTAATTGGAAATGTCAATCTTATATCTTTTATTTAAAGAATATAGTTTAAGAAATTTTGATTTAAGGTGAATTTTGGCTAAGTGATTTCTTTCATCCTGCTATTTTCCTTTATGAAATCAGAAGATTCCTTTTAAATAAAAATTTGGGAAGTAGCTAAAGCAAAACTGAAAAAATTAGCCAACATTAAAAAAGGAAAATAAATGAGAAATCATAACATTCTGACACTCAAAACAATATATAAACAACAATACTCAAGATTTTATAGATGATAATATTATAGCCAAAAAATCCCTATGGGCAGTTCTACTCATGGGGTGGCTATGAGTAGGAATCAAATAGGTGGCACCCAACAACAACTACTGTAAGTGAATGTAACATGTAGAATTAGAACCTTTTATGGTATGGTTATGTGTTTCAATGTGCTGTGTTTGCGAATCAGCAGCCATATATAATCGTGAGTGTTTTATACTCAAAATATAATCACCCTCTCTTTTTACTGGTTTTGTGGGAGGGAGCAATTTACCCTATATTTAATTCTCTGCCTGAGGAGGTAAATAAAATTGAATCAAGCCCACACCCTAAATCTTCAGCTCAAGTTTCGAAGTGGAAGTTTTCTCTAGAGTTCTAGGATATTAAGTTGGCAACTAATGTTTAAACAAATTCCCAGATCGTACCTATGCTGAGCAAACAGTTTGTCTATTTATTGCACACAGTAACTGATTCAGCTTAAACACTGGTACTGCATTTTGTTTTGAGCCTGAAAAAGGACATGATGGCTGTAGCATCCATTATTGGAAATAACCTAGTTGACATGACATGTGTTGTTAGGTGCTGTCAAGATGATTTTCAACTCATGACGACCCCATGTGACAGAGCAGAACTGCCCCATAGGGATTCCCAGGCTGTAATCTTTACTGGAGCAGATGGGCAAGTCTTTTCTCCCTCAGAGTCGCTAGGTGGGCTCGAACTGCCTACCTTTCAGTTAGCAGCTGAAGGTTTAACCATTGTACCACCAGGGCTTCTTAGATATGACATAAGAGTCTCAATTCTCTGCAATTTTAACAGCAGTCTCCTTTTAGAGTAACTTTATGACTTAATAGACTTCCTTAAGTTGGGAACTGAATTTGTGTAAAAATTACTAAGCTCTGAATTAAACTTCTGTAAAAATTATAAACTCTTTTTATGTATAAAAGGAGCTCTGGTGGCACAGTTGTTAAGAGCTCAGCTTCTAACTGAAAGGTTGGTAGTTTGAACTCACCAGCGGCTGTGTAGGACAAAGATACGGCAGTCTGCTTCCGTAAAGACTACAGCCTTGGAAACCCTATGGGGCAGTTCTACTCTGTCCTATAGGGTGGCTATGAGTCGAAGTTGACTCGAAGACAATGGGTTTAATGTATACACAAACAAAAATATGGAAAATATTTGTATAGATATGATGGTAGAGCTACTCATACCCTTCAAACTTGGATCAGTATGGGAGGTAAACAATGCATCATTTATTGAAAGCTGATTTTATATTCTTTATCTCATTTTAGCTCACACCACCATAAAATGAAAGAGTTCTTATCTCATTTCCTGGAGGCCTGGAAAGATTGCATAAATTGTAAACAATCTAGCTTGTATGTATAAGGGCCAGATTGGAAAATGATTTTATTGACTCCAAAACATTTTACTCTTAACTTCTGGGCATTATACTTGCTCCCAGTTTTCATATGCTTGCCTTTACTAATCCAGTTCAACAGTAGGAATAAAGTCTCTTGAAATATATCCTATATTTGATGCATTTTAGGAATTAAATTTGGTCTCCAGAGATGTGTCTATTACCTCTGGAGCAGCATTGTGACATACTAGAAAATAAAACATTCCATGTACGTCTCTGATTTTGCAGACTAGATTCCAACTTATTTTAACATCCATTATTTTATATAATAGAGTACTGTACTTGACAGTGTTAAAGTCATTGAGAAGAACTGAAAGCATTTTTAAGCCTAACATATATTAGTCTTTCTTTTACACTTGTTAACCAAATGATATCATTAAAAGAGGATAAAATATTTTTCTATTGATGAGAAATATCATATGGGCATTAGACTTCTAGAATTTTAAAACTGGAAGGAACCTGAGAAATCATCATGTTCTTTCCACATTGTAACTAGGACATCAATTAAACAGAAAACATTCTATTATCTTCTAAAGTCCCTCAAAAACTGAAATTTTAAATTAGCTGTTAAGAATACATTTTAGTCTCTTCTAAAGAAGCCCTAGTAGCGCAGTGGTTAAGCACTTGGCTGCTAACCAAAGTTCGGTGGTTCGAACCCACCAGTGGCAGTCTGCTTCTGTGAAGATCACAGCCTTGGAAACCCTGTGGGGCAATTCTACTCTGTCCTGTAGGGTCAGCAGGAGTCAGAATTGACTCCACGGCAATGGGTTTTTTTTTTTGGTTTAGGCTCTTCAAAATAAATGGCTGTGGTCTAATTTAAGAACATTATAAGACAAGCCCATTTGTAGCCTCTAATTGAATGGCAATTATGAACATATTTCTGGAAAATCAGTGTATATGATATCCCGTTAATTTCTGTCATATTATCTGTACTTTCAACAATTTTACCACACCAAAGTAAGGAACCATTAATTAAAGGATTTCAGAATCCTGATCCAAAGGCGATATGTATTATTTGAAATAATAGTGTTCACTTTTATAAAGTCACAATTTCCTGATAACCATATAAAGATTTTTAATTTTCTGATCTAAAATGATTTGTACATTATTTTCTCAATTTGATCTTAGACATCTGGAATTTCAAAAAGTTCAGTCACCATATGAATGTAAGTGATGTCTCTAAATTGAACTGTGACAGGGATACAGAAACTTCTGGATTAGCAAAACAATTTAACAATTTAAAAGAGAATCTGAGCAAACTGGAAAATCACTCATACCTGAAATGTGTTAAGTGTCTCTGGATGTCAAGGTCTAGAATTGGAGTGGGTCTGGAGGATCCCAGCGGTGATCTATCTTGGCTCAAGAGGTCTTGGAATTCTTTACAAATTTGTCTAAAACAAAAGATTCAGAATTGAAATTGAACCCTTGAAATGGGGCTTACATTTCGTCAACCAAAAATTTGTTCTTTTAAATGAGGACTAGATAAAATTTCACAAACCAATCTCTGTAGTTCCATCCACAACATATAGATGAGGTTCACAATGTCAGCTTTGCTCTCAAGTTCTATAGGATGATCATAAAGCTTTTAAAACATGTAACAGTCTGTGGATACTGACAAAAGTAATGTTCATTTTTAAGGTGAATATTTAAAGATTAACTTCAAGATAAGGGAATAACTATTGTAAAAGATCAAAATTAGGAATTGCTTTTTAAATAACTGAAATGCATTTTTGAGGTATCATACCTATAAAAGGCTTAATTAAACTTAGAAGCGTACTTCAGAGCCATGTTTCAAATCAGCTTGGAAAATCCTTTTGCCCAATGTCGCATTATAATTCAAGCTTCTGTGGAACTAACTTCCTATTTTTAATATTTGAAGCAGATAATCATTTATCTACAGCTGAGCCTACTAACCTCATGAAGGTGACCATATTATGTTTCACGTAAGCTGGTGTCTTACAAAAAAAGTACCCTCAAAATCATTTTCCTGCTGCCTTTCTTGCTTTAAATGATTATGATTTATGGTCATTGGTTGCATTTTAATTGCAGCATTACTGTGTATGTTGGGTAACAGTTAAGCCCATGTGATACTTGTTACCTATTGCTGAAGTCCAGAATAATCAAAATGATACACTTCAAAAACTGCAGAACATATAATAAAAGCAATTTTAAAAAAGGCTAGATTAACACCCAAAACTGTTACCATGAGATAACCTTTAAACAAATCTCAAACCAAAACTTTTCCCAAAGTCTGCTTTGAACCAAACAACAGTTTAGCTTAATTAGTAAAGCATGTCTGCCTTGAGCATTGTACTCTCCAAAGATTAATCTATGTGGATTCACACTGACAACAGTGTCTTGAAAGGTTAGATGAGAAGCTTAGGGAGCAGTGACTTTACATTAATGGTGGTGGAATAAACTGGAAAAGGATAGTGAGAATGGTTACACAACTTGAAGAAGGTAAACAATGTCCCTGAATTGCATATGTAGAATTTATTGAAAAGGTATTCTTTGCTGTGTATATTTTCATACACACACACACAACCAAAACAACACACACTAGATTAATGCAGTAGCTGGAGTGAAGTAAAGGTCTGCCAAGGAATTGCTCAAAAGTATCAGTCATCTAAAGTGAGGTCATACTGTATTCAAGGGATAATATGATAGTGATTAGATGTTCTTATCTGATTTTACAATGAACGGCCAATTGCAAAAACATCACAAAATGTAGACCTGACTATGATTAACAAAGTAGCCAAAGTCAAGAACAGAAGAGGCAAATTACCCAAAGTGAATGCCACTCCATGGACTCTACCACTACCGGGCTCCAAAATATTTGTGTTATTAAGTAACTAAAAAGTGAGAAAATATGTTGAAGCTCAAATAATTTATCACTTAGTTAAAATCAGTGGAGACTTGTTTATTAGTAGGTGTCTAGAGTTTATCAAATTCTGCCAAAGATCATTGGTCATCTTTTTTTTTTTTTAATGGACAATGAACCTCTGATTTATTGCCCACGTTCAAATATTGTGCCATTTCACAGAATTCCCTTATCAATTTGTACAGAAAGCAGGTGAAAAGGAAAGAAAGTTATACAAAGGAAGAAAATAAGCAAACAAACAACAGAGATAAGTCCTTATCTGCTCTAAATAAAACAGGATCTTCCACTTCCCTGGCTAAAATTTTGGTTAAGTCTCTAAGAAAAAGATTCTCAAAGCATGCTTTTAAGAACTGCATGTGTATACTTTTATTAAGAATATCTGTACTACAAAGGAGAGTGAAGGAAACCAAAGATTCAAGAAAGAAATTAGTCCACAGGACTAATGGCCCATGCAAACCACAGCCTCTTCTTGCCTGAGACCAGAAGAACTAGATGGTGCTCAGCTACCACTACTGACCATTCTAATTAGAGACACAATAGAACAAAATTCAAATTAATAAGAAAGACCAGATTCACTGGACTGATAGAGACTAGAGGAACACCGGAGACTATTGCCCTAAGATACCCTTTTAATTTGGAATTGAAAACACTCCCAGAGGTCACCTTTCAGCCAAGATAATAACCTATAAAATAATCAATAACACCCATGAGGAATGTATTCCTTTAAACAATCAACTATATGAGACCAAACAGTCAACATTTACCCAAAAGTAAAGATGAGAAGGCAAGGAGGGGCAGGGAAACTGGATGAATGAATGGAAATGGGGCAGGTGGGGTGGAAATGGTGAGAGTGCTGGCACATTGTGAGGACTGTAACCAATGTCAGGGAACAATTTGTGTATGAATTGTTGAATGGGAATCTCACTTGCTGTATAAACTTTCACCTAAAACACAGTAATTTTTTTTTAAAGAATATTTGCTCTGAACTCTCTCACTTTTTCTGTTCTGATCAAGACTCAGTTGAGTGACTTTCAGTTGTATTACCTGTATTTTACAGATAAGACAGCAACTTAGATTAAGTGTCTAATGCCATTTTATGGGGGCACTGTCATCTGTTATGGGTGCTTTGTAATATTTAATTTAGTTAGATATTGTTCTCCTTGTTTTTAGGAAATGTCTAACTAAAATTTTAAATATAGCCTAATACTATCATTCTTCAGACTAGCAACACAGATTACCATGTGATAGGCCATCACTATGACTCAGTGTCAGAAGGAAAGATTGGAGTGATTTTAAGACAAGTCTTTTAATTGTCTATCAGATTAAAATAAATTTAAAAAAAAATTCAAGATGGAACAACTGCTTTGATTCTTGCTATATGATATGGAAATTATTTGGATAATTGAATAAACTAATTTGCAAGGTGACAAATCAATTCTCTTCTTGTATATGCAATGCAGCAAGTTACAGTAAACCTAAAGTTGATGAAGAAATGAGAAAAAAAGAACGTATGGAAAAATTTAACTGATGTGAAGTAATTCAATTATACCACACGTAAAGCTGTATCAGGACAAGAAATAGAATCTCAACCTTTGCTATTTAATTCTGCTGCTTAATTCACTGATTTATTCTTAAAAACAGATGACAATCCTGTAGATTCCCCCAGGCAATTATCATCATCTCATTTATGACAGAGTATTATGATTTTTATGACTAGTTTTATTATTTAAAATTTTATTCATGAAATTACAATAAGAAACACTTTTATTTCTCAAAATAAAATGTCATATTATGAATTATATAACTCAAGATGATCCTTGATGAGTCACAAATTCTAACTTTATCACTTGCATCATTGTCTTTAAGGGCATAATTTTTTAGCTGATGGCTGAATTTAAATTTCTATATCTCTTATGATGATTAACATTATCATAACACTTAATGAAAATCAATTTAAATTTGTTAACTATTTTGCATTACCCTAGTGCAGACTAAATGTTAAGTATATTTAGTTTTTAATTCAGTGAAGAAGTCTGTTTGTTTTCCATGAATCAAGTAAACAAATATTTTGTCCTGTACATTTTTAGAATTAAAAAATTGTCCTATTCCGTTTCTATCCCTCCTCCTAGATAATTGTCTTAGTTACACCAAAATATTTGGTTAATCAACAAAACACTAAAAACAAAGAAGAATTAGGAGACTAACAGCACTAATCAATTGGTCCTTCATACAATTGTATACTTGGCAATATAATTAAATACAACTGAATCTGTTATCCATAGAGGTGAAAAAGAAATATGTAATCCAGTCTACCAGTGCAGATCAACAATTGGATCTTTCATCCAAAGAATTTTGGATTTCGTATATATTTTAGATACAACTGTCACAGTCTTATGAACAAAGCTGAGCTGACTAGAATGTAGTAAATATCCACATAGAATCCTTAGTTTCAATTCTGAGCATTTTAATTGATGAAAACATTCAATGCTTTTACCATTGGGAGAAAACTTGAAAACTGCTCAGAACACATGCTCAGTAAATTCATGTTGCATTCATAACCCTTTCATGAATGAATGATTTTTTCCTTTGAATTTTTTGTTGATACTATGTGTTTTCAGTAATGAAAGGCATGCTGAATCAAAGATCCTTTCTGAATTTTTCTTATGAAATATGGATTTTGATGCATATTATGTAGATCACATATGCTCCATTGAACTCTGGTGGTACAAAAGATTGGTGGTATGAGTCAGGGATAAAATAGTTTTATCTTAGCACTTTTATTTTATTTGGTTAAATTTTTCAAAACGTAGGGTAATACATAAAGGCACCTAGTAATGGCCACACAGAAATGTTGTTCTAGTCCCCTTCTTCTTAGTGCTGCATTCTCTGCATCACTTTCTAGATCTCTGGGCGGGAAAATGCTTTCCAACCTATTGAAGCCGTACTTCATCTGGCATCTTGCTTACTCCTGTCTTGTTCCTCAGCAGAAAGGAGGGTCTTCTTCTTCTCTTTATTTTCCAGCTTTCATTAAGCTGCCTCATGACAGCAAGCCTAAAGGACAGTTGGTCACATCTGCCCCCATGGTTACAGCAACTGATGCCACCATTCGAGAAAGCGCCTTCCAATTGCACACCTTTCACGCCTCTGGTCAAAGTGGTTCACTCCTCTCATAATTACATTGTATTTTGCAACTGCTCTTGGGCAAAGGATTACTGAGGAGCAGCCTCCAAACAAACATGAGAATACATGTGCCCCCGCCCCGTTGCCATCTAGTCAATTCTGACTAATAGTAACCCTATAGGACAGAGTGGAACTGCCCCATAGAGTTTCCTAGAGCGGCTGGTGGATTTGAACTGCCAACTTTTTGGTTAGCAGCTGAATGCTTAACCGTTGGCACCACCAGGGCTCCAAGAGTACACAAGGTGAGAAAATTGCCTAGCTCAAGCATCCTGCCCAAATAAATAAAACCAAAAGGATTTGTATCTCTTGAAAAGTACCACTACAATGAATTATTTCTTATTGCAAAAGTAGTACTTGCAGCTCAGAAACAAGAAAAGCAGTCCTGAAAGACTGCAACACATCTACTTACAGCAGATCAGAGATGCCACAACATGTGAGTAAAACGAATACCTTATTCTCATGAGAATTACATCCTAGCAAGCACATAGGAACCAGGAAATATACTTAAAGGCTTATCTCCCATTAAAAAAAGCCGAAAGAGACAAAAGTTTTGAAAAATTACACCTCTAGGATGCAACACCTAATACAACACCCTTTCAAAACAGTAATGTGGCGCCAATGCCCATTTCTTCAGTTTCATGCAATTAAACAGGTTTCTGCCTGGTGGCAGCATGCACTAAAAATAGAAAAAAAAACTTTCCAAGAAACCTGAGAGGCAGAAAATGTAGGTGGCCGAAGGTATCCCACTACTCATGAAAGGGATAAGCATGTTATTCTTACACATCCCTTAATTTATCTACTGATATTTATTACTATTTGTATCATGCATGTTTGCTATGACTCCATATTTCCTGATTCTTTAATTCCTGTTTCACATTGTCTAATAAGAAAATGGAGTGAATATAAAGAATAAAAACTAAAACAAAAAATATATAAAGGCCATCTTTTAATTTCTAGACTTTTATGGAGAGTTTTTTTTTAATCAGGCTTATTTACTCTTCTGTAAAATAAGGTAATTGGAACTAGAGAACTCAATTCTCGCTTGACATTTAATGGCCTGCAAATTTCCAGCCATGGACACAGGTATCAAAGGAAGTAACATGTTCTTGCAATGTTTAATGAAATCAAAATTCAAAATATCACCCAAAATAGTATGCATTACTTAGATCCCAGTTAAAAGGAAAATGCTGCTCCCTGGTAGAACTGACTATTCCAAAATAGATGTTTCAGAATAGTGTTGCCAAATCTATGGGACTAATTATCCTTCTTCCCTCAAGTTCTGCCAGCATTTACTTCTGTAAAAAGTAAATCTCAACATCAGTCTGAATGCACTCAGACTCCTGAACACTTCAACAGAGTATTCAATTAAAAAAATTGTCTAACTCAAAGCCACCAAGAAAATGTGACTTGTGTCTGGAATATTGATGTTTGCATTGCTATAGGTGTTGTAGTGAAGAGCTACAAACCACCTCTAGGGAGACAGGGAAAGATGAAGGGTTTTTATGGATTAGGATATGCACACTGAAGCCACAACTAAGTATTTTCAAGGTAAAATTATGTTTTCCCTTGGATAACGTGAATTTGGGGATAACGGTGTCATTTAGAGGCAACACAGGTGTAAGTATATTGGGAAATCTGCTTGATCCTGCCAGCTAGATTGATCCATGCTTTGGAAACAGCTCTGGGATATTACCTAACTTCTAAAACTGTGTATTTATCATGAACTAGAACAAGACTTTATCTTTCTCCTGAGGTTATATTAAAAATTCAAACTAACTAGCTAAATGTACTTTCAGTTCCTCTAGAGAAACTGAACCACGACTGATGAAGACCCCTATGGGTCAAGAAACTATTCGGAAAAGGGGAAAAGTACTGGCAAAGTAGAAACAAAGACTCCCAGGAGATAAAACATGCAAAAGGTCCAGGTTTAGGCCTTTCCACTAGCAAGCTTTCAGGAGCCTCCACAGCATAAAATTCATCCCCAAATTGTAAGTCCAAATTTTATACCTGTGTCATAATTTTTTTTCTCTTTCCTGGTCTTCATTCTTTCTTTCTGTTCTCCCTCTCCCCTTTATCTTTTTGCTTTCCCTTCTTTCTTCTCCTTTTTCCACCACCTTTTCTTTATCACTTCTTTAGGGCAAGAAGAGAGAATCATCTAGTACTCTCTGAAGAACAATGCATAAGTGTAATTCTTGGTCCAAACAATGATTGCCACAGCAGTACAAACCTGAATTAAGGGACTCAAGTGTCTCAGGAAAGACTGTTGGACTGCAGTTGTTCCATATAACCCCTTAAATTTGTAAAAATCTCTATGTAACATTGCAAGCTGTTGGAAGAAGAAATCTTCCATTTTGGTTTTATCATTCTGAGTCAGTTTAAGTTTTAACCAGAATGTTGTAAATTCATTATATTATTTTTTATCAGTTTCTAAGAAGCAATGTTTGTCACACTATCTACCTTATACTTTCTATTAAGATTTTCTCCAAATAAGAAACTAATTTATAAATTATAATTTAACCACCTGTGTCTATCAGTTCTAAAATCAGTATAGAGTTAAAAAATTAGAATAATATTATTAGTGGTATATGTAGCCCTGGTGGCACAGTGGTTAAGAGCTAGGCTGTTAACCAAAAGGTCAGCAGTTTGAATTCACCAGCCACTCCTTAGAAACCCTATGGGGTAGTTCTACTCAGTCTTATGGGGTTGCTATGAGTTGGAATCAACTTGACAGCAATGAGTTTGGTTTTTTGGATTTGGTTTATATGTAGCAATGCGTCATTTTAAGAAAGAGAAAATGGCAAGGATTTTTCTCTAAAATTTTTTTAATATGGCTTGAAGTGGAACATATGGGTCTACTAGGTTTTCACACAGTAAACGGTGCTTCTCCCATTAATTACTGAAGAACTTTCAAGTTTGAGAGAATTTAGACATTATCTTACCCACCTTCTTCAACCTTTCTCTATACTGATACATTTACCTACATTATTTCCTCCATTATTTTAATTGCACTTTTTGCAGTTTTCAGACCCTTTCACATACATTATTTCTTTTCTTTTTGACACTATCACCATGGGGAGGGGGTGCAGTATAGGAATTTTTTGCTATGTTATACAGAAAAGATGACATGGGCCCTATTGATGATCCTTGGCTCCAGAGGTCTCCTGTTAACTTTTATGTACCTGGGTCTTCATCTTTTGTCATTCCCAAACATTCATAATTTATTAAAGCACAGTGACATAGACCAAATTACATAGCAATCAAGGGCTTACTTTGGACATGTCATTATAAGGAATCAGTCACTGGAGACTGGTTATCGTGCTTGGTAAAGTAGAGGGTCAGTGAAAAAGAGAGAGACCCTCAATGAGATGGATTGACAAAGTGGCTGCAACACTGAACTTGAACACAGCAATGATTGTGAGGATAGTACAGGACCGGGCAACATAAGGTCGCTATGAGTCAGAGCTGACTCTACGGCATCTAACAACAAGGGCATATTTGCCTGGAATCTACATCTCCTAAACATGTTTTTCTCTTTATGAATTTCTACATATTCTAAAGAGCCATCCTAAGAACTTTCATCATTGCCAATGATAGACCCATCACTAGTCAAGGACAGTTTGTAAACCTTGGGCAGAGTGCAATCCTAGCTTGTCCTTGCTATGGTTGTGTGAGACCCCCATGTTTTAGAGAACTTGTGCTTTATATACAGTTTCTTTCATTCGAAGAAAATAGAACGATTGAAGATGAAGACACATACAGGCTTCCCCATCTTGCTTACTTGGTCGCCAGAATCATCTTTTTCCTTGCTGTCTGTTCTTTCTGTTCCATATGTTGTCTGGCAAGATGTTCTCCTACTGCTTTGGCTGGAAACTCTGTTTCACAAGTGTAGCCAAAATCCCGAGCCAGGTGTAAGGCCTCCCCTGTGGGAAGACAACACAAGTCAGTTTCTCAGGAGCGTCCACCTTACATTTTCCTCTAGCCTTGTTGCTGGTTATCTTCAGATGGATCATTTTTCCTATTCAGTCTAACCAATCCAAGGGAAAGGATTTTTTTTTTTTTTCAGATGAGGAGGAATAGAGAAGTTACTTACCTAGCCAGAGCATGAGTGAAGAAACTGGAAACAGAATTCAGGAGTTTTGACTCCCTTCTCAGTTGTGGCCATTAGACTAGACTGACTTCTGAGATTCTATGTATCAATGCCCTAGGGGAAAAGCCCCAAGGGTGGGCCATATTGTTTTTGCTTAACCTGTAACATACTCTCAGTAGATCTGAGATATTCAGATGCCTTTTCCCGAGAGAACTACGACAATATCTGGCAAAGGACCCAAATAACATTCAAAGAGGTTGGAGTATTTTGGAAAGTGAAATAAATGAATTATACCAATTCTACTGCTAAAGCCAGTATTTTATGCAATTATAGAACTAGCATTATCAGGTGTTATGGAAGGCTTCAGTATATTATACAACCATGTACAATGCTTCTTAGGTATAATAAAATCACAATTCACTTTTGTTGTTTCACAAAATCAATGGTCTTAAACTAGAGTAAAAAAAAAAAATTAAGTAAGACTGATGATGAAAATCCACCTGAAGACAAAGGTTAGTATTTTAAAAACTCAAGTCAAATCTTAGCTGATCATTAAAACTTTACAAGGCATGCTTTCAATGCATAGACACTGAACATCTATTTTGTTCAAGGAACAGCGCTAGGTAGAAATAATGGGGAATACAAAGGAATGCCAAAGACTATTCCTGTCTCGAGGAAGATGGTAGTCTTACCAAAAATAGAAACAATTAAAAAGTAATACTTAGTAACACTTTATAATTTACATTGCACCTATATAAACACTATCTATAATCTATACTGTTTGTTGACATTATATTGACATTATACATAATAAGGATAGTATATTACAAGTCTCAAATGAGTGTTAGAGACAAAACATTTTACATAAGTTCAAAGAAGATAAAGATAGTAACCATGAAGAGGTGATCCAACAGCCATATAGTAAACCAAATTTTGCCATGAAGAAATAATAAGTAAGAATTGATGACCAAATCATATGAAGCTCATCTGGTGACTGGCCAAAGTAGCAGTGCAAAAAGTAATGGATTTGTTCCTGCTTTAAATTTAGAGAATAATAGATTATTCTCTGACTTACTACCACAAAGAAATAAAAATGGTTATTATTAGCCAAAGTACTGAGGAGGAGTAAGAATTTATAGATTTATAAAATATGCAAAATAGATTAGTTAATACCAATGGAAGTATCCTTAGTAAAGATTCTACTTTCTTTTTCTCAATAAAAGAAATGCTAATCTTTCAGAATGGGATAGGTAATACTCACATTTACAAAGAAAGACAAAGAAAATTACCAACAGTATAAAACAGGGAAACATTTTAGGATACTATAGAGCTGAGAAAATATAATTCTGCAAGTAATTTTCCCTTAAACTATCTGTGAATACCTTGCCCTTCTTAAAACTAGAAATCTTTAAAAAAAAAAAAGTAAACGAGGTTTTGTAAAACATTTTATTATGAAAAATTTCTAACATATAACAGAGTTAAAAGAATTTTATGGTGAGCACCCATATGTCCACCCTTAACATTTTAATAAATATATCTATTTTTCTATACCTCTATCCATCTATCAATCCATATTATTTTTATACATTTCAGAGTAAATTGTAAACCTCAATACACATCTCCCTAAAAATTTTAGTATGCATATCATTAACTAGGGTTTAATGTTTTTTAGAGTGTTTTTCTTCTTAAGATAAAAGGCTTTAATCTTAAAAGTTTTTCTTGACTTATATTAAGAAGAAATAAAGCTACCAACTCTTCGATGATGGTTTAATTGCATGATTTATGCTTAATAACTAAACAGGAACTGGGGGGGTCCTTGCCCTTATTCTTTTGACAGAAAAGCACATTTGACAATAGAAAGGTCCACTGTGACTAATATACAGATACTATATAATGTCCTGATTTGAAGTTTCAATGTGTACAGATATTAACCAAGCATCAAAATTAGACTTTTTTCATTTATGCAAGTCTGTTTAATTTTTTTGGTACCAACAGAATCTAATGTTGTCATTCATTTCTTCATCCATTTACTCAGTCCATAACCACTAATTTCACCCCCATGATGCGAACAGTCCTATTCTAGACCTTGACAGAGTGTCTATTATATAAATATTACAGTGAAGTAAACACACTAATGCAGATACTATTTTTTGAACTATCTGATCATGGTTTTGATTTTGTTTTTCTCTCTGTTTCAAATGAACAGTGGCATGTCTTTAATTGAGATTTATATATTTATGTGGAGAACATTGGTTTTTTTTTTCTTCCCAATTTTAATAGAAATATGACTTAACTACATGGAAGGCATCGTTATATTGATTAGTTTCAGTAGGGCCACTTATTGGAGGGTCACACTTTTGGATAAAGCTATAATGTACAAGCAATATTATTACTAGCAGCTTATCATCATAACCAATAGGAAACAAAACGTGCATATTTGGGAAAAGAAAACGGCACCAAGATTTTATATTTGTAAAACCATGAAGGATGGTCTCTGTTGTTAAAAATGACAGAAGGAAGTTATTCAAGAAATTTCACATTGGAAATAAAGTCTTACAGCTTGATCCATCAAATAGTGGCTACAGCATCTCACCAGAGGATAAGCTACTTTCACCTGAAATGAACTTTAAGACTCACATTTATCTTGCAACTAATACAGTAATACCATCCGTAGTGTCTTCTTTGCACAGCAAGTCAAATTATATATATTTGTATATCTGCATATTGCATTACTCACACAGAAATAGATATTTAAATAACATTTTAACAGAGACTATTGTATATATATATTTTCTCCTCTACTGTTTGTGCAATAGTTGGAGAAATGAAACAGTGCAAACAGGAGGATGGCAGCATGCCTCTTGAATTTTGTGCTAAAACCTGCTTCTTGAGGATCTGGCCCATTTTATGCAAAGCTCTCACCGTGTGGTAGTTTTAAAAACAGTTTGAATGGAACAGCTGCTATTTACATTTACACTGACAGCCAGATCCTTCCTTCCTCAGTTCTGTTTACTGCTTTCTCCTGCTTGCGATGTAACATTGTTACAGGATGCATAGCGATGCTACATCAAAAGAAGTGGCAAGTGAAGACACTCTGATGTGTAGCTAAAATGTGTATATCATGCCACAAAAGCTTTGTGTGTGAAGACCCAAGAAAAGAATGAATGAATCCATGAATTGTAATACACATGATATTCAGAGAAGATTACACATCTATAGTGAAATCCTTTACAGCAGATGGCTTAGAGTCAACAGGTTTAAGAAAAATAGAAATTTTAGCATCAGAAAAGCATACGACCAAGACTCTGAAAGAAGTGACTGACTTGTGAAAAGACCTATTGAAAAATTTTATTTGTACGGGGAATTTAGCATAATATGAAGGTTGCTTTTTGAATTCATAGGAAAAAGATAGATTATCAATAAAAGGTATTGGGACAACTGGGTAGCCACCTGGAAAAACAAATAAAATTGGATCCATACCATACATTTAATAACAAATTTCAGATGAATAAAAGATTCAAACATAAAAAATAAAACCACAGAGTAATTAGACGATACCATGGGAGAATCCTTTTATAATCTTGGAATAAAGAAGGCTTTTCTAAGAATTATGATTAAAACTAAAAGCCATAAAATTAAAAAAAAATACCACTATGTCAATACGAAAAAAAAAGTTCTGCACGGCAAACAAAGATAAGAACAAATAAACAAGCAAACAAAAAACCCATAACAATAAGTAGACAAACCAAAGCTGAGGGAGCAGAGTTTTGTAACTCATATCAGACATATAGCTAATTTTCCTAGTATATAATGATCATTTACAAATCAATAGAAAAAAAAAATTCCTCATAAGTACTAAGTAAATGAATAGACAAAAAGCTCCTACAAGTCTCCTCAGCATATGCTCAACTTCACTTATAATAGAAATAGTATTTTTTTTTCTAACCTGTTAAGTTAGCAAAGATCAAAAAGTTGATAGAACTGTGCTTGGACCAGAATACAGTAGTACTCTCATATCCATGTCTCTTACTCCCGTTGCTGATAGGATTAAAAACTCACAACCACCATGTAGAACAATCTGGCAATGTCTATCAATATTACAAATGCAAGTATCATTTGACCCAGCAAAACCATTCCCGGGAATTTGAATAGATATACTTGCATATTTGAAGAATTATTTATGTAAGTGTGAAGTTACTCATTGCCCTGTTGTAACAGCCAAAGATCGAAAACACCTAAAGGATATTCATTAGGGGACTTTATCGTTGTTAAGTGTCATCAAGTTGATTCTAACTCAAAAATGAATTATGACACGCTCATTCAGTGGAATATCATGCAGCTGTTTAAAAGCCAGAACAACTTGTAAGCACTGAATAAAGAATGAACACTAAGAGAATGTGTGAAAAAAAGGTACAGAATAGTGTGCATAGAAAGTTATTTTTTTAAAAAAAAAAAAGGAAACATACACATAAGCACAACCTACATACTTCTTGTAAGGAAACCAACAACACTTGTTTTCTTCTAGGGGGAGGGAACTGAATGACTAGGTGATGGAGTGAAAAGAAGATATTTCACTGCATATTTACTTGTAACTTTTTAATTTTGTACCATTTGTATGGATTATCTATTAGAAATTAAATTAATTTAAAAATTTTAAAGTTACTCTCTGCCCCATTGTTAGAAATATATAATTCTGAATTCAGATATTTGTTATTAATTAAACACGGACAATTGCAATACTCCATTGCTCTTCGGTAGGAGTTAGATATCAGTAGGAATAATTATAGTCTATTATTTTATTGAAAACCTATGAATTTTGATAAGTGGAAGTAA